CTGCTCGGTGACATCCACAGGTGTTTTTCAATACCTGATGGAAAGCACCTGTAATGAACCTCTGTTCTTCAGAGTGGTAGTCTTTAAGGGGTTGAATAATTGTGGCAATGAAGAAACCACATAAGAACCATTTACTACTGTATTACATAAACAATTGATGTCATTTTAGTTGCATTTGGGTAGTTACAACGTCCTTGTAGGATTTGATTCTGAATACAATTCCAAATGTACACTATAGTCCCTAAACCCCTTTACAGCATTGGGGGTTGAATAATTTTGGCCACAACTGTACATCACAGAGCAGTTTTATGACCTTTAGTCAAATAAGGGTCGCAGGAATGTCAGTGAGTGAGCATTTTTCACAGTGGTGTGGATGTTGCTGGCACTGGCACAGGATTGATTTGAGAAGCACTGAAGATATATTGCACGGTGACGTGGTGGACTTTGTTCAAGAGACTTTTCATAGACTTTATTTTTGAATGTATTACTGATGCGATTTATGTAAGATTTTGCAGCACCTGAAACGCCTTTATTGTTGATTTAGTATTACAGCTCTGTGAATGTGTTCAGTGGCAGGGGATCTAAGAAGGGAATGAAAACAACTAGATCCCCAGTAAAAGCAGCACACAGTACACACACACACAAACACTTGTTAGGCACACATTTAACCCCTTGATCGCCTAGATGTTAACCCCTTCCTGGCCAGTGTCATTTGTACAGTGACAGTGCATATTATTAGCTGATCACTGTAGTAATTTCACTGGTAAAGTCAGTGGCAGTAAGGCACTTCTCCTCAATGTCAGTTGGTGTCAGATTGCACGTCGCACTATCACAGTCCTGTTATAAGCTGCTAAATGACACCATTACTAGTATTAAGTAAATAAATACATACAAATTCCCACATATATCCCATAGTTTGTAGACGCTATAACTTTCACACAAACCAATTACTATACACTTATTGGGATTTTTTGTTACTAAAGATATGTAGCAGAATACATTTTGGTCAAAATTTATAAAGAGATTTGATTTTTTTATGGGCTATGCTTTATAACAGAAAGTAAAAAACATATCTTTTTTTCAAAATTGTCGGTCTTTTTTTATTTATATAATAAAAGATAAAAACAGAGGTGATCAAAATATCACCAAAAGAGAGCTCTATTTGTGTGAAAAACAAATGATATAAATTTTGTTTGGGTACAGCACTGCATGACCCGCGCAATTGTCAGTTAAAGGAATGCAGTGCCACATAGCAAAAAATGGCCTGAAGGAGTAAAATCCTCTGGAGGGCAAGTCATTAAAGCAGAACTAAAGGCACTAAACTTACCTCCTCTCCAATAGCCTGGGTCCTTCATCGGCATCATCCTGTTGGGTGCCGGTCTTCAGGCACCTTCACTGGCTGGGGCAGGATGATGTAATTCCTACACATGCACTATAATCAGTCATCCTGGCACACAAGGACTGTGCTGGCAATGCAAACTTAATCTGCACCTGTGCAGCTCAGTTTATCTGCTGCAGAAAACTGCAGACAGGTAGGTGTATTTTATTGCAGAAGCGACACTGCATGTGTCTTATGTGATAACAGCCGACCTGCTCACAGTCTTTTGTTAAATGCCTTCAGTTCTGCTTTAAATCCAAAGTAACTATTAATGAAGGTAGCAGAAGAGATCATAGCAGGGTACAAGCACATATCAAAAGCAGAAATCTGACCAGAAGAGCTCATTTGTGCCATTGTGCTGAAAGTGGACTGGATACTACTTATGGAGTTGTTTTACATATGGTCCTGCCACCTTCGTATATACTGTACATACACTATATACTATTAGTCATACTTTCTGTCTAAGGCAGGCTTGTGTGACCACTGTGTTCTCTTGCACGACAAAAAGCTGTACATCTTTCTGGAATGAGACTCTTTTACTCTGTCCCTGCTCAGTCACCTAGCTGTGACAACAAGAGTTCAATGTACTAGCTAATGAGTCTGTTGTGAAACCCATTTTCAGTAAAGGGAAATGTTGCAGGAATTGATAAGAAATGAAGCTATTTACCATCTGCATGCATTGTAAAATATTCTGGCTGATAGCTTGTAACAGAAGAAATGAGTTTACTGGGGAAACATGCCTTATCTGATAACGCCTATGAGTTTACAGCTTGTTTTTATATTGGGCAAATGTGCGCTATTTTGTGATGTTTTGGAACAGCAGAGAAATGATCGCGTTTATAGCCTTCTGTTAACACAAGAAGCATGTCTGACAAAGTGTTCTTTTGAGACCACTTTACTCAATATGAGGAGTGCTGCCAACAAGTCACAGTAAAAAACAATCACTATTATCCTACACAGAACAGATAGGACTGAGTGACAGAAATACAAGTCAGAGAAAGAAGTAAAGAAAACTCTCCCACGAAGCGAACACTCTAGGCCAGGCACATTTGTCCTTACATTTTCTTCCACTGCCGTAAGATCTTGTGTAAAATAAATGAGCATTCCATGAGCTGTATATCCTGACTATAACAAAGACTTTATGTATTCTTGTTTGCTAATAAAAATGCAACAAATATTAGGCCTCATGCACACTGGAATTTTTTACAGCTAGTGGGTTTTAGGTGTTTTTTTATACTACCTCCTAACTCCCCTGCATGTAAATGTATGTGTCCATGTGCACATAGGCTTTTAGCAGCATTTTCTAGGCAGAAGACTTTAATGGCAAAAAAGAAAAAGACAGATAAAAAAAAAAAAACACTGCCAGGGTGTCCTGGAGCAGCAGCGTTTTGGCTGAAAAACCGCTTGACATGCTTAAACATACCTAAACACGTATTAATGCTAAGTGCCTTTAGAGCTTGAGCATTAATTTATTTCAATGGCAAGAATTCTGGCCAATAAAATTAATGTCCAAACGCTTGACACAGGTAAGAGACACCGGGTCTCTCTCTCTCTCTCTCTCTCTCTCATAGGGTTCAATATTGAGTTGGCCCACACATTGCAGCTATAACCACTTCAACTCTTCTGGGAAGGCTGTCCACAAGGTTTAGGAGTGTGTCTATGGGAATGTTTGACCATTCTTCCAGAAGCGTGTTTGTGAGGCCAGGCACTGATGTTGGACGAGAAGGCCTGGCTCTCATTCTCTGTTCCAATTCATCCCAAAGGTGATCTTTTTGGTTGAGGTCAAGACTCTCTGCAGGCCAGTGAAATTCCTCCACCCCAAACTCAGTAATCCATGTCTTCATGGACCTTGCTTTGTGCACTGATGCGCAGTCATATTGGAATAGGAAGGGGCCATCCCCAAACTGTTCTTACAAAGTTTGGAGCATGAAATTATCCAAACTGTCTTGGTATGCTGACGCCTTAAGCATTCCCTTCACTGGAACTAAGGGGCCAAGCCCAACCCCTGAAAAACAACCCCACATCATAATCCCCCTTCCACCAAACTTTACACTTTGCACAATGCAGCCAGGCAAGTACCGTTCGCCAAACCCAGACAGGTCAATTGGATTGCCAGACAGAGAAGCGTGATTCATCACTCCAGAGAACATGTCTCCATTGCTCTAGAGTCCAGTGGCGGCGTGCTTTACATCACTGAATCTGACGCTTTGCATTGCACTTGGTGATGTAAGGCTTGGATGCAGCTGCTCAGCCATGGAAACCCATTCCAAGAAGCTCTCTATGCACTGTTGTTGTGCTAATCTGAAGGTCACACAAAGTTTGGAGGTCTTTAGCTATTGATTCTGCAGACAGTTCTGCGAGTTCTGTGCACTATGCGCTTCATAATGTGCTGACCCCTCTCTGTCATTTTATGTGGCCTACCACTTGGTGGCTGAGTTGCTGTTGTTCCCAGTTGCTTCCACTTTGTTATAATACCACTAACAGTTGACTGTGGAATATTTAGCAGCAAGGAGATTTCATGGATGGACTTATTGCACAGGTGGTAACCTATCACGGTACCACGCTTGAAGTCACTGAGCTCCTGAGAGCGATCCATTCTTTCACAAATGTTTGTAGAAGCAGTCTGCATGCCTAGGTGTTTGATTTTATACACCTGTGGTCATGGAGGTGATTGGAACACCCGAGATTAATGATTTGGAGGGGTGATTCAATACTTTTGCAATATAGTGTGTACATAAACACACACAGGAAGATGGTGAGGGGAGAGTTACACTTGTGTATTATTCCACCCATGGTGGATGAAAAGAAAATTTAATTACCTATGGGCTACCTAAAGCACCATACACATAGGCTGAATATTGGGTTGTATCAGCTGGTTAAATAGAAACCCGCCAACATTCGGCCCGTGTACAGAAGACGGTCCGGCTTCTAACGAAGGGGCATGATCGAAAAAGATCTGTCGATCGGCAACCGATCAGGGCTCTCAGCCAATCGCAGAGAGAGCTGACCAGTGTGTTCTGATGGGGGGGACTGTTCCCCTGTCAAGACACAATAGCTTAGCAGAGAGATCGCTGTACTACCATTGGCTTGTTAGTACTGGATCTCCTCCCGAGCTCTTCAGTTTTTTTTTTCATTCAGCCCGCTGGTTTTAACAAAAAAAAAAAATGATAATGTGTACTAGGCTTTTGACACGAATCCTTTTTATAGTATTAAGATAACTGCTAACTGGACTAATTTGACTCCACGAGATAACAAGGGAAGTGTGCACAAGACACAGGACTGCTCTGAATTTCTGACACGTTTGACAGATATTTTTTGCTATCCAGCAGATAACAAAATGCTTTTAATGGTATATTCCCCAGAGCAAATGGCTACAAATAAGAAAAGTTCATTGTTAGGGTTTACATACAGTTTAAACATGATAGTGGGCCGAGCAGGCAGCCTTGTGAGATCTTACGTAGAATTGCTCTCTATGGTCAGTCATACTGTGCCACAACCTGGAAGCACCCAACCACAAATGCCAAAGAGGGAGATGCAGTTGAAACTAATTTTATTCATTAGTTTTTGTACTAAATGTACATGTACCCTTAGGAACTGCAAAATCAGATGAAACCAAACTTACCTTGCACACCCGAGCTACTCTTGCAACTTTGGTGTTGGCTAGAAACTCAGAACTTTCTTCTTTGACTTGTTCATTGAAGAAGTAGTAGATTTTATCGTCATCTCCAAATGTAGAATTTACACTTTCTTGAACCCAAGATGAGGACACAAACTCAGCATCTGGGAAAAGCAAAAAGAAACACATAAGCAGTTGGCAGTCAGGGACTTGTACACAGGAGGGACATGTTTAACGTGAATCTAAAGTCAAAGGGTTTTTTACCTTAATGCATTCCCTGCATTAAAGTGGTTGTAGACCCTTACAAATATCCAGGTAACACATAGACATGAAACAAATCGCACTACATAATTTGTACCTGTTTAACTGCAGTCTTCTCTGCTCTACATCTTTTTCAAAGTGCTGAATGTTAATGCTTGCCTGAGAGTCAAGAAAAAAGGGGGCGGAGAGCTGAAATTAAACTCTGCAGAGCTCAGTGAGGAGAGCTCTGAATGCTGATTGGAGGAAAGAGACACACCCCCTCCACACAGCTCACAGGAACAGAGCTGAGGCTAATAATCTGCTCTAGGTCCCTCCCCGTTACTATTTTCTCTTGGTGTCAGGAAAAATTCTCAGAAGTGATTCATGCTGATAGAGGAACAATTCAGTAGACAGAAATGACACTTAGTGCTCTTAACTGAGACAAGTACACACTATAGAGGGATATGCTTTGTTCACATTTCATGTCTGAGGTTTACAACCATTTTAAGGTAAAACACCTTCCAGTAGCTGCTGCTTCACCCCTCATTCCTAAACACCTACCTGAGCCTGTGAATGATCCAGTGTTGGAACAGCATTAAACAAGGTCTTATGATTAGATGTGAGCTCTAAAAAGTGTACATTTGGAGCTAATGAAGAATTCAAAATGTACATTAGAATATTTTCTGATTCAGCTGAAAATGGTATAAACGACAGACTGTCACAAGATTTGAGATCCTCAGCTTCCTCTGGATTCAATAAGGAGGACATGTGAAATCATCCTTTCCTAGATGAGCACCCTGGAACCCGGGCGTAAGCTGAGTATTTTTGTAGGTTTAAATTAGCAGTCTTTATTTGGGTGGTGAGGGCTATAAAAAAACAGCCAAGTCCTTGCATTTTTACTTAATTTCCAACTGATCACAGCCCTTCTGTTAGGCTCTCTTCACCTGAATGGCTGTAACATGGAACAATGGGTTAGCAGCACTCATAAGGAATGGAGATTTATATGGGATTACTAAAGTGGTTCTAAAGGCAACACATGTTTTACCTTAATACATTCCCTGCATCAAGATAAAAAAAAACATCCCAGTTGTTGTATTGCCACCCCCCCCCTCCCCCACACACACACACACACACCTCCCTATATGGGCAGCACAGTGGCTAAACGGTTAGCACTTCCGCCTGGCAGTACTGGTCATGGGTCCAAATCCCAACCACGGAACCACCTGCCTGGAGTTTGCATATTCTCCCTGTGCTTGCATGGGTTTCCTCCGGAAACTCCAGTTTCCTGTCTATATTGGTATTCCCCCTGAGGGTTAGGGACTGATGGGAATGTACAATATATATATATATATATATATATATATATATATATATATATATATATATATATATATATATATATTATATATATCTCATGTTTGTTATTTAAAAAAAAAAAAAAAAACAAACCTGCTTCAACTTTTTCAGAACAACCAGTTTAGTAGCAGTGAGCCTGTCATACAATGTTAACCTATCTTTTTTTTATACTGGTCTTTTAGCCATACCTGCTGAAAACTCTCTACCTAATCATAAATCCCCACATTCCCATCAGTCAGCAATACATACCAACCTCAGACTGCACAATCTACTAAGGCATGATGAATTGTGCAGAAATCTGTGTGCAGATCTTTTGTTCTGTTGCAAAAATCAGTTCAGAATGTATAACACAGTGACTGGATAAACTGGAATTTTGTCACCTTACTGACTTACAATAGTTACATATAATACATACAATGAAATGTTATAGCTTTGTTTAAATGCTACATATAGGCACTGTGCACGCAAAGCACCTGAATTCCAAGGAAAAAAAATGTAGTACTGTACGTGTGGCCAGTTTAAAAGGAGAAGAAAAAAAACAAACACAATTTACCTAGCTTAAAGCTGAATTCCAAACCAAGTGCTAAATACACAGATTTTATATATATATATATATATATATATATATATATATATATATATATATATATATATATATTATTATACAGTATTTATAAAGCGCCAATAGTTCGCTCAGCGCTGTACATTACAAAGGGGGACAGAACATGTGACAGAACAATACCAATACAATGCAAAACATGAGGGGATTGAGGGCCCTGCTCTTTCGAGCTTACAATCTAGGAGGGAGGGGATGGTGGCACAGGAGGAGATAGCTGTGGGGGATGGAATGGTAGGAATTCCGAGTGGAGGAGGTCGGCAGGTTAGCAGGGGGTGGGGTAGGCTTCCCTGAAGAGATGGGTTTTCAGGGTGCGCCTAAAGGAGAGGAGAGTAGGTGATAATCTGATGGGTTGGGGCAGGGAGTTCCAGAGGATGGGTGACACCCTGGAGAAGTCCTGGAGGTGGGCATGGGAGGAGGAGACCAGGGAACTAGAGAGAAGGAAGTCTTGTAAGGAGCGGAGTGTGCGTGCTGGGTGGTACTTGGATATTAGGTCATTGATGTAGTTCGGGGCAGTATGGTGGACAGCTTTGTACGTCAGCGTTAGGATTTTGAATTTGATCCGTTGCGCAATCGGAAGCCAGTGGAGGGATTGGCAGAGGGGGGTGGCGGAGACAGAGCGGTTGGAAAGGTGAATGAGTCTGGCAGCCGTATTCAGGATCGACTGAAGTGGGGATAGCCAGCGGCGAGGCAGGCCAGTGAGGAGGGAGTTGCAGTAGTCGAGTCGTGATATGATGAGGGAGTGGATGAGCTGTTTAGTGGTTTCTGGGGTTAGGAACGTGCGGATTTTGGCGATGTTGCGGAGATGGAGTCTGCACGAGTTTGTTAAAGATTGGACTTGGGGTTGAAAGGATAGGTTGGAGTCCAGAATTACACCAAGTACTCTGGCCTGCAGGGCGGGTTTGATGGTAGCGTTGTTGGATGTGACGGAGAAGTCAATGGGGGGTGGTGTCCGGGCTGGGGGAAGACAAGAAACTCGGTTTTGGAGAGGTTCAATTTAAGGAAGTGGAGTGACATCCAGTCTGATATGTCGCTCAGTAGGTGTGTGAATATATATATATATATATATATATAATATATATGAACTGTTTCACCTGCCATAGGTTTTGTATTTCTGTCCACTCAATTTTGAGATTTACAGAACACACAGTCCTATCTGGCAGGGAAATAGATATACATTTTTTTCTTGTGCAGTTAAGCAGCACTTACAGGTCTTGCCTCTCCCCAGCCTGTGACTGGACAGTGAAAGATGATGAGTTTTTTGGTCACTCTGCTCTCTACTGCTATCAGCAAACTCTTTTTAGCACAGAACTGTAGCACACTTCCTTCTGCTCTACAGTCCTGCTGCATTTGGGTTTTGCAAGCGGTTGATAGAAAGTCCAATTCATATACTTCCATGGCTTACATATCAAAAAAATACATTTAATGACATATTAATCTACACAAAGCTGCAAAAACATGTTTCTTTTTTTAACTGCCTGAGTACAGCTTTAAGTCTGGTTGCCCCTATCAGTCTGCCTGCTATGTTGTGAAATGCCAGCCTGTTTCACTATCTTCTTGTTTACTGTATGTCATAACAAAGGATGTCAGAGAATGAGCAGAAGGCATTTCATACGTCTGCCCTGAATTATTTATGCTGCTTTTCCCCTCAGTATGAAATAATCACTTGGGCACACACACATCCAGGTTAGAAAATATGTATATAAAAAAACAATTGTGTGTGTGCTGATTAGGACCATGGTGTTCATGAGTGGCAGCTGATGGTTGGCGAACACAGATACAATAATGAAAAGATAACAGAAAACTTGTCAAAACCAACAGAGCTCAGAAAATGAACACAGGATACCCGAATGAGCAGCTAACAGTGATTTTGTCAGAAGAAGGGGGAATATCAACAGCAAGCATTGCAGGGCAGTGAAAATATGCTCACATAAAACAAGAGAAGCAGCTTGATTAAACACCATCAAGTAACAGACTGCGATATACAGGCCTCCTGAGAATGGTCAGAACATCGCATTTGGAAAGTAGATGAAAGATTAATATGGATGAAACAAATACAGAGGAGTAAATTGATATCTACATGCTTTTACTCAAAAGTGAGCTTATAGGTAGCCTGAATTAGCCCCTGGCCTTGGACATTCAAACCTCAACATCTGTCTGCCATAATACCCAACTCTGTTCTTGTCTACCTGGAAGGTTTGGGGGATCCGACAACACATTTGATACATGCCATACACCTTCTTCTATCCTTCCTTTTATTTAATGAAGATTAATAAAAATCCAGCATTGTTATTGCAGGCCTCATGTAATGGCCAATGCTGATCCAGGAACTCATACACAGATATCTCAACCACACAATATCTATGCACTAACCTAATTACTGAGCATTGTTTTTGTCAGCAGTAACCAGTGTCACCATATTAGGGGCTCAAAAGTACTAAAGCCAACGGGTCACCATAACAACTAGTCAACTAGCATCTTCAGAAGAAAGCTGGCAGCTTATTGCTCTCATGACATATTCTCTACATTTTCCAGTAAACCTCAAGCATGACCTGACCCCTCCTATCTTTCTACTTAACAAGGGTAACCGTCAAATTTATGGACCAATAGGAAGACTCAATAGTTGAGAGGAGGTAGGAGCAATCTTAAAGTGATATTAAGAGGTAGAATTAAAAAAAAAAAAAAAATGCCTGATCTATGCAATTATTTTGCACACAGCTTTCCCTCCTTTTCTTGGATTCCCTGTCAGCGCTCCTGTCTTCTCCTCCCTACTAAGTGCTCCCAGAGCAAGCCGCTTGCTCTGGGGACACTCCTGCATGCTCAATCCCAAGTCCCACTCTCTGTGTCCATAAGACACACAGAGCACGGCAAGGCCCCACCTCCTCCTCACTGGCTGCGACTGACAGCAGTGGGAGCCAGAGGCTCCCACTACTGTGAGCCAATGAGGAGGGAGAGACTCAGGAGAGCTACTGCTCTCATGCACAGCACTGGATCAGGCTCAAGAAAGTATTGGCGGGACTGAGGGGGGAGCTGCACACTGAAGGTTTTTTACCTTCATGCATAGAATGCATAAAGGTAAAAGAATCTTCAGTCTTTAGAACCACCTTAACTTTTACAGGAAAATATAAACTGTGCATATCGATTCAGCAGCCTATATCTGCAGATCCACAAATCATTTTGTAACCCATACACAGAGCCAAAACATTGTATAATGTGAAAAATTTAATCAGACCTTGCAGGAAAATTTAATACGTGCGTATCTGCTAGCACCCCTCACGCTAAAGCACTAGCGATAACAAAAAAATGGGGGGATGGGGGGTGTTGCTAACAGACAGGCACTAGAAAAATGTTCCCGCAAAGTCTGAAATGTTCACATTATCACAATGATTGATTGGAAAAGGGGGAGGGATAAGGGGTGGGGGATTGGAGGGAGTGCTAGCATCTAGGCACTGGATAATTGTTTCTATAAGATCTGCTTTAAACTCTAACAGTGTCATACACAGAGTAGCAACAACTGCAAATGTAAGTTTCCAATTAGAACTGAATAGTTTAAAAAAATTAAAAAATACAGATTGAGACTCCATTTATCTGCCTGAAACATCAAACTTCAGCAAAGCTGGAAGCTAGAAAAGCTAACCATATGAAAAGAAGGCTAGAGTGCTACCTATTGCTCAAAAGAATAACATAAAATATTAACATTCATTAAATCCATTCTCCCTGTCAAAAAAATGTGTATCTATTATTTTTCAGTTCTGACTATAATAAAAAAGGAAATCTCTACAAAGCCACCATTCCCTATGAGCCAAATCATTGTGCTAAAATCTGACTGTAGCCAAAAACAGACATGTCTTCCTCTGTGCTAGTTTTTTTTTACAAATAAGCTCTAGTGTACACAAATGATATCTTACCATTCAGCCATTGAAGAGGTGATGCTTCGGTTTTCAGCGTATGCAGCACTGAAACATTTTTCCGTATATCCGGTGCGCTGTAGAAACCATAGCCTGATGCTGTGTACAGAACCCCATCTAAAATCAATGAAGCAATATATCACTTTGATACTCCATTTTAGAATGTAATAAAATTGCTGAAAAGTCATTTGTTGACAAATGCTTTACAAACTAAAAAGAAGTCATGTATTTCTGTAAACTATTTGTTAAATTTAAGGTAGAGGTAAGTGTTTTTGCCTGTAGAAGCAAAGAGGGCAAAAGAGCTGCATATAATCCAAGGCTCTAAACCGTAAAGAGGATGGTGGTGAAACATATTCTAAATTTATATAGTCTGTTTCGCTTTTAAATGTCTATAAATATGACTATTGGGTGAAGATCAGGCTTTTTAGGAGCTACACTAGGAGTCGATTAACACTTTTGACCAACAGAAGTAAACATAATCAATAACGGATATTTTCCAATTTTCCTGGATGATCTCTGACACACTGATCCTTACTTGTTCTCATATCAACCGAACAAGTGCTGCTCAGTCTGTCAGACACGTTTCACGAAAAAATACAGCAGCCCCTGGTGCTACAAGAACTTTTTACACTGACTATAAAAAAATGTTAACACGATTTTTCATTACAAACCTATCATAGCAAAAATACATGAAAACATGAAACATTCCCATTAGTAAAGTTGAAATGTACAAATACCATAACTGTCCCTAGCAGTGCTTAAAGCGCATTTCCTTTTACAGTCAAACTTGAAAAAATTTCAATAAAAGTTTGTTAAGACCACTCAACAAATGCTGGTCGTTTAGACCAGTTTGCGTAGAACAGACAGCGGCATACCTGTACCAAAAGTCAGCCAGTTCCTGCTGAAAACCGCCCGACTTTTGGTGCATGTGTATCAGGCTTAAGAAACACATCTAAAAGTTTTTTGAATTTAACTACACTCCTTCCTGACAGTTCCGTATGTGGAAGGTAGTTCCACACCTTTACTGCTCCAACAGTAAAGAACCCTTTGCAGTTTAAGATTTAACAGCTTTTCGTCCAGCCTCATTGTGTGGCTGTGTGTCTTCTTCGGTTCCCACCCGCCGTATTGTACAATGATGGTTGGGCGGGAACCCTATTATCCTGGGAGGACTTCATATGACGCGGTCCAGCAAATCGATTTCATTCAAAAAAAATGGTTGCTTATAACTGTAAAACTCAGTTATAAGCAATCATAAGGTGTGTTAAACAAAATCCTGATCATCTCCCCAGAATAATACAATGTTACCATGATAACACTGTATTACTCTGGTCACTGTAGGAAAAAAAAAAATTAAAAACCAAAAAGGAAAAAAAAATTTAATAAAAAAGGAAAAAAAAAATTATTTTTTTTTTCCAAAAAACTGTGACAAAAAATTACAACATCAAAAAACTCATCATGCCTCTTACTAAATATCTTGGACTGTCTACTTTTCAAAGAGGGGTCATTTTGGGGGTATTTGTACTGTACTAGCATTTTCGGGCCTCAAGAAATTATACATACACATACATACACACACAGTATATATATATATACACAGGTGAAACTTGAAAAATTAGAATATTGTGCAAAAGTTCATTTATTTCAGTAATGCAACTTAAACGGTGAAACAATATATGAGATAGACTCACTCCTAGATTGTAAGCTCCAAGGAGCAGGGCACTCCTATCCCACTTGTATTGAACTGTATTGTTGCTGTATTGTCTCCCATTATATTGTAAAGTGCTGAGCAAACTGTTGGCGCTATATAAATCCTGTATAATATTAATAATAATACATGCAAAGCAAGATAGTTCAAGTCGTGATTTGTCATAATTGTGATGATTATGGCTTACAGCTCATGAAAACCCCAAATCCACAATCTCAGAAAATGACAATATTACATGCAATCAATAAAACAAGGATTGTACGTAGAACAATATCAGACCTCTGAAAAGTATAAGCATGCATATGTACTCAGTACTTGGTTTGGGCCCCTTTTGCAGCAATTACTGCCTCAATGCGGCGTGGCATGGAAGCTATCAGCCTGTGGCACTGCTGAGGTGTTATGGAAGACCAGGATGCTTCAATAGCGCCCTTCATCTCTTCTGCATTGTTCGGTCTCATGTCTATCATCTTTCTCTTGGCAATGCCCCATAGATTCTCTATGGGGTTCAGGTCAGGCGAGTTTGCTGGCCAATCAAGCACAGTAATCCCACGGTCATTGAACCAGGTTTTGGCGCTTTTGGTAGTGTGGGCAGTTGCCAAGTCCTGCTGGAAAATGAAGTCAGCATCCCCATAAAGCTCGTCCACGGAAGGAAGCATGAAGTGCTCCAAAATCTCCTGGTAGACGGCTGCGTTGACCCTGGACTTAATGAAGCACAGTGGACCAACACCAGCAGATGACATGGCTCCCCAAATCAACACAGACTCTGGAAACTTCACACTGGACTTCAAGCATCTTGCAGTGTGTGCCTCTCCATTCTTCCTCCATACTCTGGGTCCTTGGTTTCCAAATGAGATGCAAAAGTTGCTCTCATCAGAAAAGAGGACTTTGGACCACTGAGCAACAGACTAGGTCTGTTTTTCTTGTTGTTCAGGAGCGGCTTGACAAGAGGAATACGACATTTGAAGCCCATGTCCAAGATCCGTCTGTGTGTGGTGGCTCTTGATACACTGATTCCAGCCTCAGTCCACTCCTTCTGAAAGTCCCCAACACTTTTGAATGGCTTTTCCTGACAATCCTCTCCAGGCTGCGGTCTTCCCTGCTGCTTGTGCACCTTTTTCTTCCACACTTTTCCCTTCCACATAACTTTCTATAAATGTGCTTTGATACAGCACTTTGGGAACTTCCAACTTCCTTTGCAATTACCTTTTGAGGCTTTCCCTCCTTATGGAGGGTGTCAATGATGGTTTATTGCACAACTGTCTGGACAGCAGTCTTTCCCATGATTGTGATTCCTATTGAACCAGACTGAGAGACCATTTAAAGGCTCAGGAACCCTTTTCAGGTGTTATGGCTTAATTAGCTGGTTTGAGTGGGACACTTTGAGCCGAAGAATATTGCACCTTTTCACAATATTCTAATTTTCTGAGATTGTGGATTTGGGGTTTTCATGAGCTGTAAACCATAATCATCACAACTATGACAAATCACAGCTTGAACTATCTTTCTTTGCATGTAATGAGTCTATCTCATATTAATTTCACCTTTTAAGTTGCATTACTGAAATAAATGAACTTTTGCAAAACATTCAAATTTTTCGAGTTTCACCTGTATATATAGATATATTATATATTTATACACACATACCATAGTTTGATAGTTTGTGGATTTAATAACTTTCTTACAGACTATAAATAATATACACTGATTTGGGTTATTTTCAACAATGAAATGTAGCAGAATACACTTTGGCCTAAAATTACTGGAGAAAGAATATTTTGCAAATAAATATTCTAATATAAACTAAGAAAAACGCGGGGGTTTTTTTGCAAAACTTTTGGTCTTTTTTCCATTTATTTAGCAAAAAAGCAGTGATTAAATACCATCAAAAGAAAACTCTATTTGTGTGAAAAAAATGATAAAAATTTCATATGGGTACAGTGTTGAATGACCACGCAATTGTCATTCAAAATGTGACAGGTCTGAAATCAGAAAATTGGCAATGGGCAGGAAGGGAATAAAAGTGCCCGTATATTGAAGTGGTTAAAGACCTTAGGTTATATAGTTTCCTGGAGTCACCATTAAGAATTTATATATTGCTATTATATCCCCACGTAGGCATCCCTTCTCCAGGAAGAAATAGTTTAATGCTTGTACGTGTTCCTCACAACTGAGGTCCTCCAGCCCCCATATTAGCTTTGTTGCCCTTCTCTGGATGCTCTCCAGCTCAAGCACATCCTTCCCGAAGAACACTGACCAAAACTGGACCGCATACTCAAGATGTAGCTGAACCAGAATTTTGTAAAGTGGTAGATTTTTTTCTCTTGCGTAAATACCCTTTTTATTGCATGCTATTAGCTGCTAGTCTTGCTTGCTGCAGCTTGGCATTATAAGCTATAGCTGAGTCTGTAATCTGCTATGACCCCCCAGACAGGGCTTTTGTCTCAGAAAATAGGTACAGGAACTCAACCATGACCCCCCCCCCCCCCCCCCCCCCCCCAAACCTTCTCCTTCACTACACACACACCCTCCAAACCGCATCAAATGGTGGATATGGTTAAATTTCACTAACACTGGGAGGGTCTTAAAGGGGTACTAAACGCCAGGAGTGCATTACGTACAGAGTGCAAAGCTCAGGGGTGTGCTACATACAGAGTGCAGATTTCAGCCTTCTTCCACAGCTGCTTACCTCTGCATCTCCATCCACATCTCACTTTCACCCCTCTTCTTCTGTAGTACATCCCTACACACTGTAGGTAACTCAGTCTCTCTCACTTACAGGGAGATAATCCAGTGGAGGCGTCAGCATCCGCATTGCACACGGGCACCTGCATCTCCCTTGTCCCCATCCTGCACTCAGTGGGAGCTGCTCAGGAGACCAGATATTTGGGAGCCGTTGGGGGACAAGATGTCACTTGTAAACACAGAAGCTGCAGAAGTGGTAGTGGTAAGCAGAGGGACTGAGCCTGAATGGAGTTCCACCAAATTCCAGCTGAAAAAAAGCTCTGCCCCCAAGATACTTTTCTATCCAGGATTCCTCTGAGGTTCTCCCCCTTGCATGCATATTTTTAGCTCCCAAGTGCATTACCTTACATATATATATTAAGCCCAATCTGCCACTCAACTGCTCAAAATTCATCAGCATTTTTATGAAGGGTAATACAAGAACCAGAGAAGACAAAATAAAGGAAGGTTAAACTTCAAATGTAAATTCCTATCATGAGAAAAAAATATATACAGTACCTAGCTTAGTACATGCTAGTTGGGTGTGGCTTACAAGGAATGAGTCTTACCAATAAGAAAGCCAGTGTACCCTATAACTGGATCAAATGGGCACTTCTCTCTTCCATCTTCACATGTTAAAGGTAAAACAAACGTCTTCACATCCTAATGATTAAAAAAAA